AATGAGCAGTTGGATGAAAGATAAGGGGAAAAAAAAAGAGATAGAAGTAAATAGATGGAATAAAACATGGGAATCGATTAAATTTATGAGGGCCATAGCCTATAAAGAAAACGTTTATAAGATGTTCCATAGATGGCATTGGTCCCCGGAGAATATAGCTAAGTGCTATCCGGGCTACTCTAGTCAATGTTGGCTAATATTGGAACTTTTTTTCACATGTGGTGGTCATGAAGCAAAATTCAGGAATATTGGAGAATGGTGAGGAGGTTGATCCAAGATATAATTATAGATGTAAACTGACTAAATACTGCTTAAGGGTTACTTTCACACCGGGAGCTCTCAGCCCTCGTTGACTCATATATGTGTCCGGAACAACTAGATCTGAGTCCAGTCACACCTCAAGAGGCCAACAAGAGTTTTCGGTATGAGCTTTCGAGAGGCAAAGCCCCCTTTGATGAATTCCCACTCCATGCAACTGAATGGGGTACCTTCGATGAAGACTGTTTCAGGAAGTAGGCCTGGGGTTCCTGAAAAGGGGATTTTGCCCCTCTATATTCCAGGCCACAGGACTCACTTTACAGGGTGGGGCTGTGGCTCAGTGGTAGAGCATCTCCTTGGCATCCAGAATGTCCCAGGTTCAATCCCCGACATCTCCAGTTAAAAAGATCAGGTGATGGGAAAGACCTTGGCCTGGGACCCTGGAGAGCCACTGCCAGTCTGAGTAGACAACGGTCTCCCTGACGGGACTGTGGGTCTGATTCACTGTAAGGCAGCTTCATGTGTGTTCAGGAAAGTACTTCTTAAACAAAGTACAGAGAGCCAGTTTGGTGTAGTGGTTGAGTGCACGGGCTCTAATCTGGGAGAACCGGGTTTGATTCCCCACTCCTCCACTTGCACCTGCTGATGTGACCTTGGGCAAGCCATAGTTCTGAGAACAGCTGTTGTTAAAAAAGAGCAGATTCTGTCAAGAGCTCTCCCAGCCCCGCCTACCTCACAGGGTGTCTGTTGTGGGGAGGGGAAGGGAAAGGAGATTGCAAGCCGCTCTGAGACACTTTTGGGTAGTGAAGGGCGGGGTATAAATCCAATCTCTTCTCTTCTTCTATAGGGAAGTGGTCTAGTCAGGCTTTGACCATTAGCCCCAACGCTGGAGTGCAGCCTGCGTCTCTCTGGTCTGCTTTCCATTCTTGCTGTCCCTTGCTCAATTTAAGGAAGTCTGCACCCCTTACAGCAGAGCTCTATGGTCTCCTCCACACCCAGCTCCCAGCCTAAGATGTCCCAGGCCGACTGCTCTGCCAACATGGCCACCGATGTCCAGTCCCCCTTCAACAGTGTACTCCCCATGGCTGCCGCCCGGGAAACCCAACAAAGAGCCTTCTTGGTTGAGACACTGAAACTTGGGAACTCCTTCCCCAGGGAGATCCGCCTGTCTCCCTCTACTGTTGTCTTCCACCAACGGGAAAAGATCCTTTTCCTTTTTGTTTGGTGTAGTGCGCGGACCCTAATCTGAAGAAGATGATCTTGGATTTATACCCCACCCTTCACTCGGAGTCTCAGCGCGGCTTACACACTCCTTTCCCTTCCACTCCCCACAACAGACACCCTGTGAGGTTGGCGGGGCTGAAAGGGCTCTTTCAAGAACTGCTCTGACAGAACTATGGCTTGCCCAAGGTCATCAAGCAGCTGCAAGTGGAGGAGTGGATCATCAAACCCGGTTCTCCTAGATTAAAGCCCACACACTTAACCACTACACCAAACAGAGAGAACTGGGTTTGATTCCCCACTCTTCCACATGCAGCTGCTGGAGGGACCTTGGGTCAGTCACAAGTTCTCTCAGAGCTGTTCTCTCAAGGGCAGTCCTTGAAAGAGCTCTCTCAGCCCCACCTACCTCACAGGGTGTCTGTCGTGGGGAGGGGAAGGGAAAGCAGTTTGTAAGCCGCTCTGAGACTCCTCTGGGTAGTGAAGCAACAAGAATACAGAGCATCACATGCCGCAGACCGAGAGTTCCTATCTATGACTTGGGGCTAATAGCCACTGATGGATCTCTGCTCCATATAAGAACATAAGAGAAGTCAATGTTGGATCAGGACAAAGGCCCATCCAGTCCAACACTCTGTCACACAGTGGCCAGAAATACCAGGTGCCATTAGGGTGTCCACCAGTGGGGCCAGGACACTAGGAGCCCTCCCACTGTTGCCCCCCCTTCAAGCACCAAGAATACAGAGCATCACCTGCCCCAGACTGAGAGTTCCTGTCTATACCTTGTGGCTAATAGCCACTGATGGACCTCTGCTCCATATAAGAACATACATAAGAGAGAAGCCACTGTTAGATCAGGCCAATGGCCCATGCAGTCCAACACTCTGTCACACAGTGGCCAGAAATACCAGGTGCCATCAGGAGGTCCGCCAGTGGGGCCAGGACACCAGAAGCCCTCCCACTGTTACCCCACCCCCAAGCACCAAGAAGACAGAGCATCACTGGCCCCAGCCTGAGAGTTCCTGTCTATATCTTGCAGCTAGGAGCCACCGATGGACCTCTGCTCCAGATGTTTATCCAATTCCCTCTTGAAGCCGTGCATGCTTGTGGCCGCCACCATCTCCTCGGGCAGTGAATTCCATGTGTTAATCACTCTTTGGGTGAAGGAGGACTTCCTTTTATCTATTCTAACCCGACTGCTAAGTAATTTCATGGAGTGCCCACGAGTTCTTATATTGTGAGAAAAGGAGAAAAGGACTTCTTTCTCGCCCTGCTCTATCCCTTGCATAATCTTGTAAACCTCGATCGTGTCACCCCCTCAGCCGTCGTTTCTCCAAGCTGAAGAGCCCCAAGTGCTTTAACCTTTCTTCATAGGGAAAGTGTTCCAACCCTTTTGTCATTCTAGTTGCCCTTTTCTGCACTTTTCCAATGCCATAATATCCTTTTTGAGGCGTGGTGACCAGAACTGTACACAGTACTCCAGATGAGGTCACACCATCGATTTATACAGGGGCATTATGATACTGGCTGATTTGTTTTCGATTCCCTTCCTAATAATCCCAAGCATAGCGTTGGCCTTTTTTACTGCAGTCGCACACTGTCTCAACATTTTCATTGAGTTATCTACTACGACTCCAAGATCTCACAAGTTTTCCAGTCAGGGAAGTAACACACCAGGGCATCGGAGGAGTTGGACCCAGTGGCAGAATAGCTGCTTGGCATGCAGAAGGTCCCAGGTTCAATCCCCGGCATCTCCAGTTTAAAAGGACCAGGCGGGAGGTGATGGGAAAGACCGCCGCCTGAGACCCTGGAGAGCTGTAAAGAGGGGCTGTGGCTCAGTGGCAGAGCCTCTGCTTGGCATGCAGAAGGTCCCAGGTTCAATCCCCAGCATCTCCAGTTAAAAAGGACCAGGCAGGAGGTGATGGGAAAGACCTCCGCCTGAGACCCTGGAGAGCTATAAAGAGGGGCTGTGGCTCAGTGGAAGAGCCTCTGCTTGGCATGCAGAAGGTCCCAGGTTCAATCCCCGGCATCTCCAGTTAAAAAGGACCAGGCAGTAGGTGATGTGAAAGACCTCCACCTGAGGCCCTGGAGAGCTGTCAAGAGGGGCTGTGGCTCAGTGGCAGAGCCTCTGCTTGGCATGCAGAAGGTCCCAGGTTCAATCCCATTAAAAAGGACCAGGTGGGAGGTGATGTGAAGCACCTCTGCTTGAGATCCTGGAGAGCTGCTGTAATACTGACACTGATGGACCCATGGTCGTCTGATTCAGTATAAGGGCGAAGTCTGAGCGAACAACACTGAGCTTGATGGCCCAAGGGTCTGATTCAGTAGAAGGCAGCTTCATGTGTGTGTTGGGGAGGGGCCGTGGCTCAGTGGAAGAGCCTCTACTTGGCATGCAGAAGGTCCCAGCGTCCATCCCTGGCGTCTCTAAATAAAAAGCTCAGGTAGGAGGTGACGCAACTGAGACCCTGGAGACCGGCTGTCACTCTGAGTAGACAATACTGACCTTGATGGACCAGTGGTCTGATTCAGTAGAAGGCAGTTTCATGGGCAGAACTAGAGATGTGAAGGCCCGGGAAAAAAACTGGAAAAATTAGGGGGGGGGGGGGTGTCTGGTTTTTCCCCCGAAGCCTTTTTGTTTTTTTCCGAAAAATTGAAAAAAGAAAAGAAAAAAAAAATGACTATGGGACGTTTTATTTTAACATGATGAATAAAATATTTTAAGACAAGGTGTTCAAATATTTTCCCAAATCATTTCTAATATATATATATATGGTATCAGATTGATCTAATTTCTGTGCACTGAGGACAAGCAAGTCCTAGGTTACAAACTGAACTCTCCGATGCAAGAACATGATGCATTTCTTCCTTTAGGAGGTGCTACTGTCACAAGAAAAGAAAAAGGTTTCAGTTTTGTTTTTGCATGTGGGAGGGTATTCTGTTTTTAATAATTGTTTGGATACACTATATTTTTAATATGCTAGTTGTGATAATTTCATGCCGAGTAAAAATGTCCATAGTCATATTTTATGTTCCTAAAGTAACAGAATGACTTTCAATCTAGAAAAGACAAAAGAAAATTTCCTTTTTTTTTTCCTGGGTTTTTTTCCGAGCTTCAAAATTTCCGGAAATTTTACATCTCTAGGCAGGACCGGTCCTGGGAAAATGGGTTGCTTGGCTAAAGTGAGTCTGGCCAGGCCCCACTGGACTTCTGTCTGACGTTGCGGCAACAGACGGACACGGTTCCCCCCTCTGGAATTGCAGCCAGGGCTGAGGCCCCGCCGTCACGTTTTGAGGGGCCTGGAAAAACCAGATTCCCCAGGGCCCAACACCCACCCTTTCTACCGCCAATGCTTTTGTATCCTGAATATGAATACACAGAATAATTCAGACTGGATAACGCTTAAAGGGCACCAGGCACAGGCTGTTATTTCCCAACTGAGATTGCCACAGGCCGTTGTCCGTTGGGATGCCTCCTTCACTTATCCTCCCCCTCTCGGTTCTTTCACAAGCAAGACTGCACTAACCTGCTGTCCGGTGGCTTCTCCGGTGTGTTTCAAGGCATCCATCGGAACAGAGGCAGCTGCTACGGGTTTCTTGGCCTTGGCTTCTCCTTTCTGACTTCTCGGCAGGTGTCTGGCGCTAAAATTCCTCTCTGAAGAAACTCCTAAGGATGGAACAACCAGGATCAGGCAAACGCGAGTTCGTTCTAAGAAAGCTCTTCTCCCACCACCACCATGCGGGAATCCAAGGGAACGCCAAAATAACTTAAAGCGGCGCGGCACAGATATCGGAATGCTCCTCCCTACTCCAGAAGCCTGGCCCAGTATCTTAACAGCTCCAAACCTTGAATTTACTCTCCTCGCCCGCGGGATGAAGCCTAGGACCTCACTTTAACAGCTCCATAAAGGCCACAGCACAAACTAAGGACTGGCTCTTTTTCTGCCACCCAACACTGCGTTTCTGGTAGAATAGTAAAAAAGGTAAAGGTATCCCTTGCTTGAAAGCTAGTCAAATCCGACTCTAGGGGGCGGTGCTCATCTCCGTTTCCAAGCCGAAGAGCCAGCGCTGTCCGAAGACGTTTCCATGGTCATGTGGCCGGCATGACTAAACGCCAAAGTGCACAGAACACTGTTACCTTCCCACTGAAGCGGTACCTATTTATCTACTTGCAATTTCTTGCTTCCAAACTGCTAGGTTGGCAGGAGCTGGAACTAGAGACGGGAGCTCACTCCGTCACACGGCACTCGGGTCTCAAACTGCCAAACTACAGAACTTCCGGTCTGCAGCTCAGCGTCTTAACCTCTGAGGCACCGCAGCACTTTGTGGATTTTTTCCACCAGCAGTGAACGTGAGGGCTGCCTTCTACCACTGAGCTACAGCTACTCCCCTTCTTTTAGGCAAATCTACATTCCTGATGAGTCATTACAGCAGAGGTGTCGGAGTCATTTGTCACGAGGGCCGGATCTGACTTAAATGTCACTTTGTTGGGCCGGGTCATGTGCGCCATAAAACGTAATCTCAGGTACTGGAGACAGAAACTGTATAAAGGACAGCAGCTGGTAAGCTCCAAGCTGGTGTATCCTCAATGCAAGGCCCCATGGGCTGTGGGGGGGGGGGGGCAAAGGAATGCCTAAATGGGCAGACTAGAGAGCAACTGGGGCAGCACTGGGCAGACGCTCCCACGCTGCTCGACTGCTGCAGATGAGGTTGTCCCGCCATGCTGAAGCCACAATCGGAGTGGCTCCGCCCACTCCCCCCCCCGAGCTGTCTCCTGTTCCCTCCCTTGCACTAGTTGCTCACGGGCCACATAAGAGCCCTGGGCGGGCCCGTTCCGGCCCCCGGGCCTTATGTTTGACACCCCTGCACTACAGTTTGCAAAGGCGTCGCTTTTACTAAAGGAAGAGGGGAGAAAGATGGGGGAGAGTGCCTTTCACTGGCGGTATCCGCGGACTCTTTCGACTACCCTCATCTGTACCATCCTCCTCTGCAGCGAGAACGTTTTTACAAGCAACAAGTCGGCCGTTCGCCTAGCCGCGTCTCGGTACGCGCCGCTGCTCTGGCATGAGCTCATGCTTCTCCCGGCGTTTAAAGGGCCCTTATCGCCACGGAGGGGGAACCAGCTGAAGCCTGAGGCAAAAGGTTTATCGGCTGATTAATCAACGTGGACCTATTGAACTGAGTGCCACGAGAGCACTTTGCAACGCAAACCGGCGGGAGGGCGGGGTGGTCATAAATCATGGCCCTGCATTCCCTCTACAAGGAAATACATTTCAGAGCACGAAAAATGAGTTCTAAGGGCTAACGCGGATGCTACACTTTACGCAAAACGGGAACCGCTGCAGCACATGATATGCATGCAGAGAAACCACATCGAGCTGCTTTACGCTGAATAAAGCCATTAGTCTATCTGCGTCAGTATTGACAACTGTGACTGGCAGCTGCTTTCCAGAGTCTCAAGCAAAGGTCTCCTATCTCACCTACTGGCTGATCTTTTTTTCCCCTCTTTTTGTAATGGAAATGGTGGGAATCGAACCGGGGACCTTCTGCATGCAGAGCAGACGTTCTACAACTCAAATCTGACTTGCAAGGCAGACAGATACAGTTTTAAAAGCAAAACAGAAGTCAGATTTAGAACATAAGGATATAAGAGAAGCCATGTTGGATCAGGTCAATGGCCCATCCAACCCAACGCTCTGCATCATGCAGTGGCCAAAACCCAGGTGCCATCAGGAGGTCCTCCGGTGGGGCCAGAACTCCAGAAGCCCTCCCATTGTTGCCCCCAAGCAAAAAGAATACAGAGCATCACTGCCCCAGACAGAGTGTTCCCTCTATACCTTGTGGCTAATAGCTACCCATGGACCTCTGCTCTTAAGAACATAAAAGAAGTCATATTGGATTAGACCAATGGCCCATCCAGTCCAACACTCTGTGTCACACAGTGGCCAACAATACCAGGTGCCACCAGGAGGTCCACCAGTGGGGCCAGGACACTAGAAGCCCTCCCACCGCTGCCCCCCAAGCACCAAGAAGACAGAGCATCCCTGCCCCAGACAGTGTTCCATCTATACCTTATGGCTAATTTCTTATTTTTAGGTATTTGAAAACCTTTAATGTATGCTTATCTGTAGACTTGCCACCACTGTTGTTGTATTTTAAGTTTCTTTTCTGTTTGGGTATTGCAATAAAAATAATTTTAAACAGTGCACTAAAAAATTAAGCCGGGGGGGGGGGGGA